TCTGGGGGTCCCCAGCATTCCTGGCAGCACACGTCACCTTTCTTTCCCACTCGATACATCACATCATGAGGCGACATTGTTTTAGAGTTAACCTTGAACCTTTTTAAAAAATAAGCCATCCACAAATTCTGGGACTTTAGCTCTGAGTAGTAACACATCTCTGTGGCCCCTCGACTCAGACTTTATTCATACTGGGTCACAGGGTACCGCAGTTGCGAGCATTGTCCCCAGGACAGGATCCATTTCCTACTGGCCCTCAGGAGGCACACTGGAGGTCTGTTGAGTAAACTCCAAGGTTCTCAGCCTGCGTATACGGAAAAGCACATTTTACTTAGGGGCGGGCAAGCCCCTAGAACCAGGAATCTTCAGTTCCTGATTCCCGTCACAGAAATATCTTCCTGTTTGGAAGTACCACAAGTTTAGCACCTACATGTCATTAAAAGCTGGGCTGGACATTTGACACTGGCCACAGAGCATCTACTCCTCCTTCCCAGTATCACTCTAGTTTCCTCTGGGGAACTATCTGGCACCTACTATGTAGAGTCTTGGTAGACAGTAAGCCATCCAGGGAGCCATCCTCCCACTTCATTAATCGAAAAAATCACTCACATCTCCTGCAGACTTACTTCCCTCTGACCACTTAGAACAACCAAAGGCAAGCATTTGATCTAAGCGTAGCCAGTTGCTTTCCCAATAATTTGGTTTTGGAGCAAGAACATATGGATGGAATGAATAATGAAAGTTTACTCACCCCCATGACTGCACATGGGCAAGACCATGGAGCTGTCCCTGCTTCCAGGACCCTCGGCTACCTTCCTCTTGTCTGTTCAAGCCTAGTTTTATGCCTTCCCTTCCACCCTGTGGCATCCATGGCCACCCAATCACTTCCCTTTTCTTAATTTACCCTGAGTCAGTTTTGGTTGCCTGCCATCAGTGAACCTGGCTGATACACCAGCTCATCCTAATAAAGAAAAAATTCCCCATTTCTCCTTCCTAGGAAAGTCCAGTGTGGGATCCAAAGGCCAAATGTGACCCTACTATCCCTGGGGAATGAGATTCCCAAGATTCTTAACCAAAAAGAAAATAAATTTACAATTTGCTAGCCCTAACATTCTTCCAGCTGGAAACTTCTGATCAGAACATAGCAAACCTGAGTTCACTTGACAAAGTTATGCTACCTATTATGAAAAGGGAGGGGTAGAACTTCAAGTGTTTATTCAATTCACAAAAAAAAGCCTAGTAATTACCTACTCCATTGCATCATTCCTCAGATCTGCACTGGGCACGCTGCAAGGTCAAGCTCACTGCACCCTAGGCTGGAAGAAATGGTCAGCATGGTCAGTTTCTTCGCTTTTCTGTCTCTCACCATTTCCAGGTGTGTGCGGAGCATTCCGGTCCTGCTGTTCCTCAAGGACACATGCCCAAGTTACTTATTATGACAGACATTTACCCCAAGTTACAAGGGAATCCAAACCTCAGCCCTTGAAGAAAGGCAGCATTGTGTGGCGGTACAAAGCCCAGACGGCTTGGGTTTGGATACCAGATCTGCAAAGGCTGTGGGACCTTGGATAGGTCATTTAATCTCTCCATGCCTCAGCCTCTACCTTTGTAAAACTGGCTTCAGAGTCAATATGTGGGAAGCATTTAGAAGTGTAAACACAATTACCCATCACTGTCTTTCAACCGTGCCATGGAATCCGGCCATTAAATAAGGAACAAAACAGCCCTACTCGGTTTGGCTCAGCGGTTAGAGCGTCGACCCACGGACCAGAGAGTCCTGAGTTGGGTTCCCACTAAGGGCATGTACCTCGGTTGCAGTTTGTCCCCAGCCCCGGTTGGGGTCATGTGGGTGGCCACCACTCGATGTGTCTCTCTCACATCGCTGTTTCTTCTCTCTCTCTCTCCCTCTCTCTCTCTCTCTCTCTCTCTCTCCCTCTCTCTCTCTCTTCTTCCCTCTCTTCCTCCCACTCTATCTGAAGATAAATGCAAAAATGTCCTCGGATAAGGATACAAAAATATTAATAAGCAACGAAACACTGAGCAGCTGACTAAAGCTACGTGACCTGCCTGCCTCCTCTTGTTTATCTGCAGTTAAGCTTGTCAAAGGAAAACATTCAAGGATGTTCCACTACCAGCGTGAGATTATGGGGGAGGAAAAAACTTTCCTCTACCCTGCTAGGTTCTTTCTGCTGGTCTAATAATCAAACAAACATGAGACAAATTGAGAAAATGACGAAATTTAATTACATGTGTATATATGAGAATCCCACGTACATGAAAGAGTCAGAGATTCCACAATCAGAGGTTCAGACACAGAAAGAGAAAATGGGGTATATAAGAAACCCTGAGCTAAGGATGAGGTAAGGCACCTGGGGCTTCAGAGGGGAGGAGGTGATTTGCAGGACAATAAAAAGAGCAGATGTTCAGTAATTAGTAGTTGGTCCTGCCCTACAGATAGATCATAAAAAGTTATTTCTGGTGATAACTTTTCTTATGGGCAAGGCCCCTAATTAAATTCTTTTTTTTTTAAGATTTTTTTTCTTCATTGATTTTAGAGAGAGAGGAAAAGAGAGGGAGAGAGAGAGAGGAATATCGATGAGAGAGAACATCGATTGGCCCCCTCCTGCATGACCCCCGCCTGGGGATTGGCCCACAACCTGGGCCTGTGCCCTGACCAGGAATTGAACCAGCGACCTCTTGGTGCATGGGTCGACGCTCAACCACTGAGCCACACCGGCCAGGTTCTAATTTAAATTCTTTCTTTTTTTTTACCCTAATTTAAATCTTTTAAAGAAGAGGTCAAAGTTTCTCATGAGCCCTCAAGATCTCCACTGCCTTCAACTCAAAATAATTTATATAGCAAAGTGGCACGTGTTGGCAAGGCCTACAAGATGCTCAGTGGACCCATTTCCTAGAGAAACTGGTGAAAATTATTTTTTAACAACCATTTAAATTCTCTGGAAATTGACCTAGTATATAAACCGAATGTAGAAGTATTTTTCAAGAAAACCTACTAAAACTCAGTAAGAACTATAAGAGTCTGTGGTATTTGAACCCACCTCCTCCCACCTCATCCCAGCTCAAAGGTGTCCAGACAAGAACATAGGGCAGAAGGCTATCTTCCTGGGAGAATATCATCCTGCCCCTAGCTACTTGTTGCTAAGACTAAGTCCCAGGTGAGGACAGCTAAGAGGTCGGCTTTCTGCTGCTCGGCCCCCACTGGTGGGATGAGGCTCTGCACTGAGTGTGGCATTGCTGAAAATACAGGGGCTACAGTTCATTCTTGTCCCAGCTGATAGGCAAGGAATTCCCACTAGGAGAGGCAAGCCAAGGAGACCTGCTGCCTTCTAACCGCTGAGCACTCAGCTCCCAGCATGGAGGTGACACACAGACAGAAGCACATCATTGTCCCCCCTGCAGCACCAGAGCCTTGGCTGAGATTTCCCCCAGGAAGGAGAGTGAGACCATACATAGAGAACTCCAAAGCGCTCCCTAAAGGAACTGATTTCATTTGCAATCCTGTATGGAGAGATTCAAGCATCAGGATGTTCTCAAAAATAGAAGCAGCAGCCCTGGCCAGTGTGGCTCAGTGCTTAGAGCATCAGCTCATGGACCGAAGGGTCCTGGGTTCGATCCCCAGTCAAGGGCACATACCTGGGTTGCAGGTTCAGTGCCCAGTCAGGGCATGTGCAGGAGGCAACCAATCAATGCATCTGTCTCACATCAATATGGTTTTTTTTCCCTCTCTCTTTCTCTCCTTTAAAATCAATGGAAAAAAAATATCCTCAGGTGAGGATTAACAAACAAACAAACAAAAAGGGAAAGCAGAAGACTGACAACAAAAAACAAAGCATCCCTGGCCAGTTTGGCTCACGGGTTAAAGCGTCAGCCCATGGACTGAAGGGTAGCCAGTCTGATTCTCAGTCAAGGCATGTGCCTGGGTTGCAGATTTGATCAGTGGCCCCCAGTCCAGGTTATGTGTGGGTGGCAGCCAGTCAATGTGTCTCTCTCTCACATAGATGTTTCTCTCTCTCTTTCTCCCCCCCTTCCTCCTTCCTTTCCTCTCTCCTTCCAGTCTATAAAAATCAGTGGAAAAATATCAGGTGAAGTCCTGGCCAGTTTGCTCAGTGGTTGGAGCATCGGCCTGCGGACCAGAGAGTCCCGGGTTCAGTTCCCATAGGGGCCTGACCCCCCCCCCCCAAAAAAAATATCAGGTGAAGATGAACAACAAAACAAAGGACATTTGGAGGGAGATTAACAGATCCATTCGAGATATAGGCTAAACTGTAGTCTGGCTAATTTGCTAGAGAGAAACAGGAAAAGAGACAACTGTAAAAAAGCTTCTTTGGGTCAGAACAAATCTCAAACACTGACCTCGGGTACTATCCCTACAAAGAAACTTAGATTTTAATGGATTTCACTATAAGGCAATTTGTGCCCTGGGGCATTGTTAAAAACAACACAGCAATCAGCCAGGAATTTGTGGAGCTTAACACCTGGGCGGGTGTTGTTAAGAAAAAGACAAAGAGAGCCCTGCCCAAACCGCATCATCACAGGCGAGTTGTGGTCACACTTTAAGCCAGCAGCCCCGAGGTGCAACGTCAGAGGCTTCACACTGTGACCTGTGGAGGGACTTCCTGAAATTATCCACCCAGTCACTTAACAAGCAAATGACAGTAACATGCCTGGGAGGGTGACCAGCATCCAGATTTGTTACAATAGATTATCTAAAACATCCAAAAACATATATATACAAGACATAAAGCAATAAGAAAGAATGACCCATACACAAGAGAAAACAAAAACAGAAACTGCCTGTGAAAGCAACCAGATTTAACAAAGACTTCAAAATAGCCATTATAAATATGTTCAAACAACTGAAGAAAGCCATCATTGAATAAATAAAGGAACGTGTGAACACAATGTCTCATTAAATAGAAAAATTAATAGAGGGATAGAATTATAACAAAGAATTAAATAGGACAGCTACAGCGGCAACCATGGTGTACAAAGGCCTCATGGTGCTTCTGATGGTGATCAGTGTGTTCTGGGGCCCCATCAGCTTCCTGACACCCTGGTTCATCCCTAAGGGTCCAGTTTGCTGCTATCTCTTTTGGCTGATTGCAACTCGGGCCCAACTCAATCCTCTCTTTGGACCACAGTTGAAAAATGAAACCCTCTGGTACCTCAGGTATCACTGGCCTTGAGGAAGAAGACCCGCTGTCCAGTGCTCAGTCTCTGAGGTCACGAAGAGAATTTCTCTAGATGCAAAATCACCTCCAAACCAGACCCAGTTTCTTGACTTGACTGTTTGGGCCATCAGCTGCCTTAAACATTCTAGGGTTAGGGTTAGGGTTGGTGTTAGGGTTAGGGTTCGGGTTCACACATTTGCATATCTTACTCTACAGTGCAGTATTTTTTTTTCTATCACCTTTTTCACACTTTGATGAATATGTGCCTACTTAACATAAACTATACTGACTCCATAAAATGTGTATGCACTCTTCTGAGATGGAAGGTGCTATTCTTCTGAGAAAGGAGGTCATTCTCTCCTTGGAACTTGTGAATTTGTTTTTTGTTGTTTTTTTTATCCTCACCCGAGGATATTTTTCCATTTTTTGTACAGATGGAGAGGGAGGGAGAGAGAGTAAGAGAGAGAGAGAGAGAAACATCGATGTGAAGGGATACATCGAGTGGCTGCCACCCGCACGACCAACCAGGGCCGGGGACAAACTGCAACTGAAGTACATGCCCTTAGCGGGTCTCTCCGGACCGCAGGCCGACGCTCTAACCGCTGAGCCAAACAGGCCAGGGCGGAACTTGTGAATTTGAAGATGGCTCCTGCCTGCTCACAACACGGGAATCAGCGAAGTGTTTAAAGGTTGTCACAAGACAATAAGACTCAAGTGCAGCAGCCAATAGTAGAGTATGCTCAAGGGAAGATCTATGCCAAAGTATATATTCAGTATAAATTTATTATTTCTGCTCTCTTTTGGAATAAATTATTTTTCTGCTTTCTATGAAAATTCTGAAGTTAAAATGGACAGTAACTGAAATGAAAAATTCACTAGAAGACTTCAATAGTAAATCTGAATTAGCAGAAGAAAGACATTTGCAAACTTGAAGATAAATCAATAGAGATTATGCAATCCAAAGACCAGATAGAAAATAGAATGAAGAAAAAATAAACATAGCTTCTGGAAACTGTGGAACTCCATAAATGCACCAACATATGTGTACTAGAGGTACCAGAAGGAGAGGAGAGCGAAAGTAGCAGAAAATTTTTAAAGAAAACATCCCAAAATTTATTGAGAAAACAATCCAGAAAGTTCAATAGCTCAAAATAGGAGAATACAAAGAGATCCACAAATAGATGCTGAAATGCTGAAAGCCAGAGACAAGGAAAAAATCTTGAAAGCAGCAGGAGAAATATTCATCACTTAGAAGGGAACCCCAATAACATTAGCAGCTGACTTATCAGAAACAGTGGAGGCCAGATGGCAGTGGGAGAACATAAAGTACTCAAAGAAAACAACTGTCAACCAAAAATTCTATATCCAGTAAAGCTATCTTTTAAAACTCGAGGCAAAATAAAGACATTCTCAGAGAAACAAAAACTTACTTGTTTTTAGAATTTTTTTTTTTTTATCCTCACCCGAGGACATTTTTCCATTTTTTGTTCAGGTAGAGCGGGAGGGAGAGAGAGGAACAGAGAGAGAGACAGAAACATCGATGTGAAAGGGACACATCGAGTGGCTGCCACCCGTACGACCAACCAGGGCCGGGGACAAACTGCAACTGAGGTACATGCCCCTAGCGGGAACCAAACCCCGATCTCTCAGGACCGCAGGCCGACGCTCTAACCACTGAGCCAAACCGACCAGGGCTAGAATTTTTTGATAGCACATTCATCTTACAAGAAATACTGAAGGACTTTCTTTAGGCTGAAAGCAAGTGACCATTGATATGAAAAAAGAATGGGTCAAGCCCTGGCTTATTTAGTTCAGCAGTTAGAGCATCAGCCCACAGTCCAAAGTGTCATGGGTTTGATTCCTGTTCAAGGGCATGTAGCTGGGTTGCAGGTTCATCTCCAGCCCCAGGTGGGGTCATGCGGGAGGCAACCAATAGATATGTCTCTCTCACATCGATGTTTCTCTCTCCCTCTCTCTCCCTCTCTCGTTTCTTCTCCTTCCCTCCCACTCTATCTAAAATATCAATTTAAAAAAATATATCTTCAGGTGAGGATTAACAACAACAACAAAAAGCAATGGGTCAAGATCATTATGTAGTTGTAAAAGACAGTATAAATGCACATTTCTGCTTCCTTCTAACTTATTTAAAAAGCAGTTGTATAACACAATATGTATATAATGTATTTTGAGATCAATAACATATAGAAATATAATGTATTTGGCAATAATAGCACATAGGAGGTAAGTGGGAGCAAAGCTATATTGGGCTAAGAAAATGACGTTAGATGGTAAATCAAATCCACTGTAACAAATAAAAAGCACCAAAAATGATTAGTAAGAAGGTTAATATGATAAAGGTTACAAATACATATAAATAATACAACAGAGTTTTTAAGTTTCATGAAATCTTATTTGTCTGTCTTGCTGTTGTTGAATGTGTGTTTGGCGTCATAGCCAAAAAATTATTGCCCAACCCAATAGCACAAAGATTTTCACTTATATTTCCTTCTGGAAATTTTATAATTTTGGATCTTACACTTAGGTCTTTGATTCATTTTGAGTTAATTTTATGGTGTAGGCTAAGAGTCTATCTTAATTCTTTTCCATGTTGCTATACAGTTTTCCCAGCACCATTTGTTGAACAGACGTAAATTCTCATTTATGAGCCCTTTCTTACATATGATATGATCTTGGAGAAGATGGTTAGCAGGAAGGCAAAGTATCTCAAAAGTAATCCATATATTTGGAGTAAAGGGGATACAATAATTTTTTAATGTAGCTTATTAGCGTGATTTTATATAGATTTTAAAGTGATTACCTCAAGTCAGTTTAATCAACTTTACCTATATAAAAATACTGTTAGAGGGCTACTTCCTTCCCAGCAACTGATTAATTTTGATCCAGTGAACTCTGGTGTTGGACAGTCTGAATAATTTTGAAAATGGAGGTCTCTGGCATTGAGACACATCTCAGATTTGATTCATTTTTTTGGTGAATTCCTTAGGATTTTCTATGTACAAGATGATGTTATCTGCAAATAGAGGTATACGTTTTGAATAGAAGTCATGAAAGTAGACAGACATCCTTGTCTTGTTTCTGATCTTTGGAGGGAGACATTTCCCTCTGTCATCAGGGATTTGCATAGATACCCTTCATCAGGTTGAAGAATGTCCCTGTTAGTCCTAGTTTGCTGAGTGTTTTAACATGAAGAGACATTGAATTTTGTCAAACGATGTTTCTGCATCTATTGAGAAGATCACACGGTTTTATTTTTTTCTCTGTTAATATGAGTTGTAATTTATTTTTAGGTGTTAGATCACCTTGCATTCCAGAATGAATTCTAATTGGTCATAATACATAATTCTTTTTATGTGCTACTGGATTTGGTTTGGTAGTATTTTGTTGAGACTGTTGCATCCATATTCATAAGAGATGTTGGTCTATAATTTTCTGGTTTTGTCATCAGGGCATCCTTTTTTATTTTGTGAAAGAGTTTTTGAATAACTGGTATTAATTCTTCTTTTAATGTCTGATAGAATTCATCAGTGAAGACATCTGGCCTGGGCTTTTTTCTGTGTATATTTTTTTTGCATTACTAATTCAATCTCTTCACTTTTTATAGGGCCTGTTTAGATTTTCTATTCTTCTTGAGTCTGTTTCAGTAGATTTTGTCTTTCTAAGACTGTGTCCATTTCATTCTAAGTTGTGCAATTCATTGACATAAAATTATTTGTAGTATAATTATTTTTCTCTCTGTAAGGTCAGTTATAATGTCCCTTTGGTTATTTTTGATTCTAGTAATTTGAGCTTTCTCTCTTTTCTCTTGATCAGTCTAGCTAAAAGAGTCACTTTAAAAAAATTTTTTTTTTCTTTGCCATGGACAGTTTGGCTCAGAGGTTAGAGCATCAGCCCACAGACAGAAGAGTTGTGGGTTCAATTCTAATCAAGGGCACATACTTGTGAACTAGACTACTTAATTTAAATAACTCCATTCTGACCAGCAATTGATACACGTACACACCCTGACTCATCTAAACACCATGGCCTTAGGGAACCGGAACCATAATGATAAAGAGATTAGTAATAGTCTTGGGAAACCCAGAAAAACCATAAAAATAATTGCTCTGATCTTTGTAACAGCTCCTCATGCCCCCTATCTGTATCAGTTTCTCCTTTAATGACACCAAGGCAGCGTCAAGAGGATGTAGTTTTGGTCTTTATAAGCAGGCTGAAAGAATGTTCCGGGCTGTTGATTTGGGGAGACTATGCCCCCCACAGCCAGCCTGTGATTAAAGCACTCCTCTCATTTACAATTCGGTTGTGCGTCTCTAATTATCTCACTGACACGTTATAACACTGAGTTGCAGTTCAGTCCCCAGATTCAGTTGGGGTTGTACAGGAGACAGCAATAGATGTGTCTCTTTTGCATCAATGTTTCTTTCTTTCTCTTTCTTTCCTCCTCCAACTCTATCTGAAGATAAAAGGAAAAGTGTCCTCAGGTGAGGATAAAATAAAGAAATACATAAATAAATTTTCTTTTATTGATTTTAGAGAGAGAGGAAGGGAGAGGGAGAGAGACAGACACATTGATGAGAAGGAACATCAAAATTGGCCACTTCCTGCATGCCCGCACTGGGTATCAGGCCCACAGCCTGGGCATGTGCCCTGACTGGGAATTGAAACTGCAGCCTCTTGGTGCATGGGTTAACCACCAAGTCACACCCACTGGGCTAAAATTATCACTTTTGTTTATCTTTTCAAAGAACCAGCTTTTGGTTTCATTGGTTTTTCTCTAATGTCTATTCTATTCTTTTTTTTTCCCTTCTGATGTTTATTTTTTATTTTATTTTTGTTACAGATGTTTCTCCTTTTTTACCCCATTGACACCCTCCTCCCATCCCCCTGACCCCGTCCCCAGCTTTGTTGTCCATGTCCATTGGTTATGCGTACATGCATATAAGTTCTGGGGTTTATCTCTTCCCTCTCTCCTATTCTATTCTTGATTTAGTTCATTT